CCCGGCGGGCCCGACCACGCCGGCCTGGGCGCCGTCGGAAGCCCAGGTCTCGAAGAAACAAAGGGCCCCACGGAGCCCCATCCTGCGGCCCCTGGCACTGCCCCCGCCAGACGCTCGGCTCGGGGGACCCCGAGGCCCCCAGCCTCCGCCAGCACCCCTGCCCTGGCCTGCCCTGCCCTGCCCTGCCCTGGCCTGGGCACGGCGCCGGGCCTGGTGGGAAGCTGAGGCTGCTGGGCCTGACAGTGCACAGCGAGCGCTGGGCCTGGGCCTGAACCCAGCGCCTCAGGTGTCACTGCTGAGCTGTGTGTCTGTCTTTGTGTGTGTGTGTACAAAGTTGTCACTCTACCACTTGAACAACAACACCACTTGGTAGCTTTTTGGTAGTTCACTGGAGAATCACATGACTTTCCTGCCCAGGCTGGCTTTGAACCACAACCCTCAGATTTTAGCCTCCTGAGAAGCTGGAATTACAGGCGTGAGCCGCCGCAGCCGCATTTTCATTAGGTACTGGACCCAGCCTGACCTGGAGCTTTAACCTCCCAGTCTCCCCTGTGCTGGGATTCCAGAAATGCACACCTTCACTGGTCATGAGTTGTGGGCAGGAGGCCCAGCCTTGGGCCCAAACCCTCCCTGGCTAAGACCTTCTCCCTGTGCAGAATGACCTGAGGCTGAGCAGCCAGCGAGGAGAGACCTCGGTCTGGAGCTCAGGCACCCCAAGAGGCTGCCTGTGTCCTTCAAACAGCTTCCTCTTTCACATCTTGTCTAAGAATAGCTTGGGGTGGGGGAACGGGGCTCAGGGGCAGAGACTGATGGCCCAGGCAAGGCTCAGGGTCACAGCCCTGCAAAGAGTACATTACAGCATGTGGCTTTCAGCCATCCTTAGCCATGTCGTTGTGTCCTGATAACCCATCACAAACCCTAGAAATACCCTAAGTAAAAATAATTCACTGGCACCAGTGCCTCACACCCGTCATCCTAACTTCTCAGGAAACTGAGTTCTGAGGATCAGGGTTGAAAGCCAGCCCGGACAGGATGACCACCAGAAAACCAGAAGTGGTGTTGTGGCTCAAGTGGTAGAGCACTCGCCTTGAGCTGAAGAGCTGAGGGACAGCGCCCAGGCCCAGAGTTCAGACCTCACAACCGACAAAAAAATTAATGTATTGGGAGGCAGAGATTCGAAGATTGAGGCCAAACAGACCCCTCCAAGAAAAAAAGACCTCAATGTTAGAAATAATTTGGCAGTGGCTGGGAAGGTGGCTCAGTGGTGGAGTGATCGCCTAGCATGCATGAAGCCCTCGGTTCGATTCTTCAGTACACGTACACAGAAAAGCCGGAAGTGGGGCTGTGGCTTGAGCAAAAGAAGCTCAGAGACAGTGCCCAGGCCCTGAGTTCAAGACCCAGGACTCACACAGAAATAGCTCGGGATGTTGGGGTGTCATGGAGGACACTAACTCCACAAGGCCCTTTGCAGGAGGGGCGCCATCAGCCAAAACGCTGCTGGGCAGCACATGGCAGGAAGACCACTCCCTTTTTATCCCTAACCAGGCCTCGCCCACACCTCTTCCCCCATTGGCTGAGCTCAGGCCCTTCTATCCCCATTGGCTGAGCTCAGGCTCGTCCACCCCCCCATTGGCTGAACTCAGGCCCCTCCACCCTCATTGGCTGAACTCAGGCCCCTCCACCCTCATTGGCTGAGCTCAGGCCCCTCTACCCTCCATTGGCTGAGCTCAGGTCCACAATCTGCAAAAGGATGTGGCTTAACTTAAGGAGCTTTCTTTTCCTTTTGGTTGCGAGTTTCGGCCTCGAGACCATCTCTGAGCTTTTTCCCTCAGGGCGAGCGCTCTGCTACTCAGAGCCACAGCTCCACTCTTGTTTTCCGGTGGATAATTGGAGATAAGAGTCACAGAATTTCCTACCTGGGTTTGTTTCCAACCTGGATCCCCAGGTCTCAGCTTCCTGAGTGGCTAGGATCACAGGCGTGAGTCACCATACCTAGCTTGGGCTTCCAGAAGTGTCCAAGGGGATGCCTTCATGAAAAGCACTCAGGAAAAGTTTGTAACTAAAGTGTAATTCATGAGGGCCGAGTCACCTGGCCAAAGCCGGAACCTTCAGAAAAGCAGTTCCCTGAGGGTTAAAAAGGAAGCAAACTGCTTGGGTGCGCAGCACCCAGCAAGCCTGGGGTCCCGGCTGCACAGGAGGCAGGGCATGAAGCACTATCTACACAGTAACTCAAGCTTGAAGGGCCGGAGGCCTGGCTGGGTGGTAGAGCGCCTCCCTCAGAAGGCTGAGTCCCTCCGTTCCAGCACCACCTAGAAGAATATTGAATTCACCTGGTGTCAGTGGTGCATCCCTGAGCCCAGCTATTCAACAGGCTGAGATTTGAGGATCGAAGTTCAAAGCCAGCCCAGGCAGGAAAGTCCACAAGACGCCTATCTCCAACTAACCAGGAAAACAGGGAAATGGAACTGTGGCTCAAGTGGTAGAGCGCTAACTTTGAGCGGAAAGCTCAGGAACAGTACCCAGGTCTAGAGTTCAGGTCCCAAGACTGGCAAAAAGAAAATCCTGAATTCATGTTGTATATTGAGTACCTCAAACGCTTGGGAGTTGAGCAGATTGGGAGATATAATGTCTTGCTTACACTGAAGGGAAGTGATTTTTTTTTCTTTTTGTTTTTTTTTTTTAGTTGGTTGTGGGTCTTGAATTCTGGGCTTAGGCAGGTGCTGTCCGTCAGCTCTTCAGCTCAAGGCAAGCCCTTTACCACTGGGGCCACAGCGCCACTTCCAGTTTTCTGATGGTTTATTGGAGATGAGAGTCTCACAGACTTTCCTGTGGGCTGGCTTTGAACTGCGATCCTCAGATCTCAGCCTCCTGAATAGCGAGGATGACAGGTGGGAGCCACCAGCACCAGCTTGATTTCTTGACTGCTGTACCAAGGGTGAAAAATGGGTGTGTGTGTGTGAGAGAGAGAGAGAGACGAGTTTGCATATCAACAGCCCCACGCTTACATGTAATAGTTTCAGTTTATTAAGCACTTCAAATACCATCCGTACCAATCACTGACTCCTTCGCCTAATCCTACTGAGCGAGCCCACGTCCGCCGTGGGCATCCTCGGGCTGCTCCGAGTCGCTGGAGGGAGAAGCGGCTGCCTGGCCGGGGCGGGTCAGCCAAGGGAGGGTCGGCCCGATGTGGAGACTCCGCGCTCGGGGAGGCTGACTCCCTGGGCCTCCGTTGCCCGGGTGTCTGTATGTTCATTTCTGCCGATGTCGGAGCACCGGGGTTGCCTTGGTGACGGCTTGGCTGCTGGTCAGGTCTGGTGATGGATGAGGGCTGGTTGGGCTCCCCCTGTGTGTTCTTACTACCCCTTCCTTAGCTCTACCTTCTAACTCCTACTTTAACTGTTCATGTCTTTCACAGCACACATGCACTCAATGTATCTATTGAATAGCCTACCATAGCACCACACATCATGTCAGTATTTAATGGCACACGTCACGTGTGTATTTAATAGCACACTATGTCATGTTAAGTAGCATGTTATGTCAGTATTCTCATATTCTCTACCGGGGCATTGTGTATTTTCAGACAGGGCCTTTGTACCCCAGGCTGGCCTTGAACTCACAACCCTGTTGCAACCCAAGGTGACCAGCAGCTGAAACCGGACAATGAAACTGGGTTTGGGGCACAGAGGGAGGCCGGGGCCTCTCACCAGCAACAGACGCCCCAAGGTCCGGTTCACAGGGCCGTGATTGATTTAGGTTCACAGAGCCTTTAGGGAATTAGGGATGGGAGTGTGTGAAGAAATCAAGGCTGCAATCTCTGAAGTTAGAGACACCACCATGAAGCAGTGACCTCCAGATCTTAGGAAGCCCTGGCCAGGCAGGAAAAGCCGCAATTTGCATAACAAGCCTTTATCTAACACCGAGATCTGGGAAGCTTTGGGTGCTGATTAACTCCCTTTTAGGGGAGAGTGGAGGATGTCTGCAATGCCGGGAGCAGTTGGTCTTTCTTGGGCCACTCCTGGCTTTCTGAGAGTCAGAGAACTGGCATTCCAGGTCTTCGGAACGCTCAGGCTCTGCGGGCCTGCTATTACAGGTGTGACCCCCAGGCCCGGCTTGTTTCCCTCCTCTGGCTTCTAACAGTGTCTTCTCCAGCAGGGTTTGCCCTGCCCTGCAGGTGAATGAATTATCGATGCATTGAATGAGTCAATGGATGAGAATCGGTGAATGAACTCAGGATATTGAATGAGTGACCGGAAGATAGACTGGATGGACCAGTGAGCAGGAGAGCGGATAAATGAGTGATTGAATTAGTGAATGAATGGATGAGTGGGATGCTCACAGAACAGTAGATAACAGGAATTGCAGTTGGGGGGGGGAGCCTGAGCCCCCCAGGACATCAGGGACCCCTGCCCCCACCAGAGCTGAGCTGGTGCTGTGGCCACTGGCCCCATGGGAGGTGAGTGTCCCCTCCCCTTCCAGCCCCTCCCCAGGCACCCAAGGGCGAGCCCAAACCTACTGGGTGAGCCCACAGCCCAGAGGCTCCTGACAAAGCTGGGGATCTAAGCTCACACCTGTCACCCCAGCTGCTCGGATGGCTGGTGTGAGCACTGCAGTTCAAGGCTGGTCTTGGTAACCTTTACAGGACCCCCATCTGGACAAAGACACGGGCACGGTAGGGCAGGTCTGTCATCCCGGGACACAATTTAGAGACAAGGCCGGATGGGGAGGGGCCGCGGAGGTGCAGCAAGGCCCTGAGTTCAAACCCCCGCGTGGAAGAGGAGCAGGAAGAAAACGCCAGCCTGCTGGATTCAGGGGTGCAGAACCAGAGCCCCGAAAGGCTGAGCCTCATGCGCCCGAGGGGGCCACCGACACCAGCGCCCCCTTCCGCCCCCGGGGGTGGGGGAGCAGGGCTGAGTCCCCCGGGGTTACCCTGCCCCACTGGGCGGAGGAGGAAGTGGTTTGCTTGTGGGTGCCTGGGCCCCGCCCAGGGAGCGCAAGATCCTGCCGTTGGGCTGGGGGGGGTTGCGATGCCCTGGGTGTTGGGGTCACCCGCGGGCTCCTCTCTGCTGGCACCCAGGACACGTGGGCACGCCATCAAGGCCCAGGCTCTGGCCCCGCCCCCCCACCTGCACCCCAGGAAGTGGCTGTCCTGCTCACGCTCACCCCGGGAATCGAAACCCAGCGCCCAGCACCTCCAGGTACACGGGCTCGGCCTGGGGGGCCCGGGGAGCAGGGGTGGCTGGGGAGGAGAGGACATTACTAAAATCGCAGGCCAGAGGCTGGAGAGTTGAGGCCAGCTTGGGGTCACAGTGCACCCCACCTCAAATAGTTACCCAAAGGAAGCGCAGCGAGGAAGGCAGCAGGAGGCAGCTGTGCAGGCCTGGCCCCGTGTGGGTGTTTGTGATTTGTGGGTCAGCCCTGGGGCTTGAACTCAGGGCCGGGGCGCTGTCCCTGAGCTGCTTTTGCTCAAGGCTCGCGCTCTACCACTTGAGCCACAGCACCACTCACGTCCAGCTTTTTCCGCTTATGGGGTGCTGAGGAATGGACCCCAGGGCCTCATGCATGCGAGGCGAGCGCCCTACCGAGCGCCCTACCGCTGAGCCACCTTCCCAGCCCCGACCCGGGGTTTGTTTTCCTCCCTCCAGGGCGTTGTGGCCCCCGACCAGACCCAGGCCTCGCTGCCTGGCCACCGCCTCTCCCGGGGAGGAGGCGGCTGGAGGCCATGGATTCAATCAGAAGCGTCCGCCACCTTCAGAAACCTTGTTTTTTCCTTTGAGACCAGGCCTCGCTGCAAAGCCCCTGGCCAGGCCTGGGACTGCGGGACTGCAGGCGGCCCCGCCCGGCTCGGCTGAGCCCCAGCCCTGGGGCACCGTGTGCGGCAGGGACGGTGCAGCTCCAGCCGGAGCCGCCCCCGCCGCTGCCCCCACGGCTGGACTGGTTCGTGCACACGCAGGTGGCGCAGCTGACCGCCGAGGGGATCCCCGAGTGGTTCCACGGGACCATCTCCCGAGAGTGAGCGCCGCGCCCCGCCCCGCCCCGCCCCGCCCCGCAGCTCTGCCTGCAGAAGTCTGCCCCCCCACCCGCACAGCGCCACTTCCGGTCTCCCGCCCGGGCTGGCTTCGAACCCTGAGCGGCTGGGATGCCGGGCGGGAGCCGCGGTGCCCAGCGCCACCCACGGTCGCCCCTTGCCCCCGGAGCGGGACTGGAGGCATTTAGGAGGTGAAAGGTCACCCTCGGGCTGGTGTCCCTTCCATCTGGGCTTGTGAGGTCCTTGGTGCGAAGGCCCGTGCTCCCCCCGCCCCACAGCCTCCGAGGCCGGGGTGGGCGGCTGGACCCCGCATCTCCTCGCTGTGGGCGCCTTTCTAGGGCTGCGGAGAAGCTGCTGGAGCCCCAGCCCGCGGGGTCCTTCCTCGTCCGGGTCAGCCACAGCCACGTGGGCTACACGCTCTCCTGCAGGTAAGGCTGGGCTGGGCGTGGCTAGGGTGAAGTGGGCGTGGCTAGGGTGAAGTGGGCGGGGCTAGGGTGAACGGGGTGGGGCGGAGCTAGGGTGAACCGGGCGGGGCTAGGGTGAACTGGGTGGGGCGGGGCTAGGGTGACATGGGGTGGGCGGGGCTGAGGCCGGGCAGGGCGCGGGGGGGGGGCCCAGGCCTCCTCCCCAGCCGCACAGCCTCCCCAGCACTGATGTGGAGAGACCCGGGCCGGGGAGCAGACCAAGCGGGCCGGCCTCTGGCTGCGGTCCTCCTCATCTGTCTCCTCTGGGCCAAGGCCAAACCCCGCACTGGGCAGTTAGGTAAACTGAGGACTGTCAAGCCGGTCTGGCCCGGAGAACCGGCTCTGGGGACCGAGCCACGCGCAGCCACCGTCTCCCCGGGGAGCAGCTCGGGGTGGCAGTGTCACTCGGGGAAACTGAGGCATGGCAGCCGGGACACGGGGGGCGGCGGGCAGCCCGGCGTGGACGCGACCCCCGCCCCGCGTGTCCCCGCAGAGCCCCGGGCTGCTGCCGCCACTTCATGGTGAAGCTGCTGGACGACGGCCGCGTCTCCGGCCCCGACGGGGAGGCCCACGCCTCGCTGGACGCCCTGGTCACCCACCACCAGCGGACGCCGCTGCGGCCCCACGGGGACCTACTCACCCAGGCCTGCCCGCAGGTGAGGGCCCGCCCGCCCTCCTGACCCCACTCGCCCCCGTCTCCCCCCTCCCCGCCCCGGGACCGCGGCTCCTGGGCCGAGGGGTGCCGGCGCGAGGCTCAGAGGGCGTGGCCCAAGCGGCGGTGGGTAGGACTTACGTCGCCACAGGGACGGGTGGGCGTGGCCTGCCTGAGGCCCGTCAGTGGGCGGGACCCCCTACACCACTAGGCCAAGCTTTGGGCGGGGCCTACATGCCCTACAAGGCCCGGTGGGTGTGGCCTGCTTGAGGCCCATCTGCGGGCGGAACTTACACTCCCTACAAGGCTCCGTGGGCAGGCGGGCCTCAGATCCAGTGGGGGCGGGGCTCATCTCCCTGTGAGCCCGAGTGGGCGTGACCACCTATGAGACCGGAAGTTAGGCGGGGCGTATTTCCCTGTAAGGCTCGGTGGGCGTGGCCTCCCTGGTGCCTGGAGTGCGTGTCCACGCGTGATTCCCACGCAGGGCGGTGCTGTGGTGGGTGCGGGGGCAGCGTGCGGGTCGCGGGGCCGGCGTGTGGGGTGCGCAGGGAGCGAGCTCCCGCACAGACGCCGCACTGCTCCACAAACCGCGCGGATGTGGGGATCCCGGGGTGTGGGGTCCGGGCGCCTCCCCGATGCGGGGGGCGGGGGCGGCTGTACCCTGACCTCCGTGAGCGCCTCTACCCCGCAGCCTGGAGCGGCAGCTGCAGCCGGGGCCCCTCACTCCCGCCCCGGCGGGGTGGGGTGCGGGGCTCCCCGGGTTCCCTGGATGCGGAGGCCCCGCCATTGTCCCGGCCAAAAAAATGTTCCCAGCGTTGGGGAGGCCGAGAAGGGAGGATCAAAACTTCCCGGGGGGCCGGGCGCTGGTGGCTCCCGCCTGTCATCCTAGCTACTCAGGAGGCTGAGGTCTGAGGATGGCGGTTCAAAGCCAGCCCGGGCAGGAGAGACGGGATGGGGGGAAGGACAGACAGACAGATGGACGGACAGACAGACAGAGCGCCCAGCCAGCCAGCAGGTGTGGCTGTTTATTCTCACAGCTCTGGGAGTCTCCACGGGGAGCTGCGCCCGGCCCCCGGCCCGGCCTCCCGGGCCTCTCCTCGTGGGCGTCAGATGCGGATGTGGAAGGTGCTGTGGACACAGGAGCGGGGTGGTCACCGCACACCGAGGCGCCCCTCCCCCGCCTTCCTGTCCCCAGGATGGGGTGGCAGGGGGCCGGGTGTCCGGAGCCGGCCCCGCCAGGCCCCGGCGTGGGTCCGCCTGCGCCCCAGCCCCGGCTTCCCTCTCCCCAGGCCACACAGGAATCCGCAGCGGGATCTGGGGGGCTGGCTCCCGGTGCGCGAGCGGATGTGGGGTGCAGCGGGATCTGGGGGGGCTGGGGGCTGGCTCCCGGTGCAGCGGGATCTGGGGGTGCTGGGGCTGCCCCCAGCGCATTCAGCGTCACCTGAGGAAGTCGGGCGCCCGCAGAATCATGTTCTGGAAGTCCTCCAGCGACAGCCGCCCGTCGTGGTCCCCGTCAGCCTCGTCCAGAACCTTCTCGCACACCAGCCGCACCTCCTCAGGGCTCAGCTCGCCCCGCGTCAGCCTCCGCACCGTCTGCTCCAGGTCCCCCGCGCAGATGTAGTCGTCGTCGTTGAAGTCTGTGGAGCACACGGGAGACCGGGGCTGGGGCTCGAGCCCGGCCCCCTTGCTAACCTGCTAGGCTGCTGCTGTCCCACGTGAGCCACAGCGCCACTGCCGGCTTTTTCTGCGTATGTGGTGCTGAGGACTCGAACCCAGGGCCTCGTGCATGTGAGGCGAGCCGCCTTCCCTGCCCTTCTGGCTTCCTCGGGCCTGGGGTGCGGCCGTGTGCGGTGGGACCCAGCCCCGGGGCGAGGCCCAGCCGGAAGGGCTGAGCGAGGGCGCGATGCCCAGAGGCCCCGGGGCGCGGGGCACAGGGACCTCGGGGAGCCACGGAGGCCAGCCCCCCCTTGCCCACCGTAGATTCTGAAAGCGTAGTAGGCCTTCAGGTCCCGGGGCGCCATCTCGCTCATCACCGAGAACATGTCCAGGAAGTCGTCCAGGGTCATGTGGCCGTCGCCCTCCTCGGAGAAGACCTGCGCGATCCTCTGGCGGAAGGGGTTGTCCTGGGGACCGGAAGGACCCGGCTGGGCGCCCGCCTGGGCCCCCCAGGCCCCTGCCGGGCGCGGGGCTTCCGGTGGGCAGGTGACCCAATCACAGTGGGTCACTCACCTGTTGGCACGTGACCACTGACCGATCACCTGGCACATGTGATTGGCTCCTGAAAGGAAGGAGCTTCTCCAAGGGGCTCCTCACTGAGTCGGTTGCTTACTGCGTGATTGGCTTTCGGATGGGCGCACGAGCCAAAGCGACCAATCAGAGCGTCTCATTCACCTGTCTACTGTGATTGGCTCTTGGATGGGCATGTGACTCGAACTGACCCATCAGCGATCCTCACCGGGTACTTGTGATTGGCTCTTAAAAGGACCAACCAGAGAGACTCATTCATTTTCTATCTGTGATTGGCTCGTGGATGGATCCCTGACTCAGACTGACCAATCAGAGGCTGCCTGAGCGGGAAGCCTTGTCCTGAGAGGGGCTGGGAGGTGCAGGAGTCCTGAGCCCACGTGGAGGCCCTGGCTCCGGCTGCACGGACACTGGCTGTGCGCCTGGACTTTTACTTGGTTTCTGGCGTTCTGATCCATTCAGCTCCCCGTCAGTGAGCTTTTCATCATTCACAATAAAGTGCAACCAGCCCAGGGGCCTGTCCTCATCCTCAGATCCGTAACCACGCGTCGGAAAGACTAAGGGCATCAGCACCAAATGCACAAGCTCTTTACGGTGCGCATGGCAGTCCTGGGGCTCCACCAGGGCCTGGGCGCCATGTCTGAGCATTAGCTCTACCACTTGAGTCACAGCTCCACTTCTGACTTTTCTTGGAAGTTAATTGGAGATACAAAGTTCAGGAGCTGGGCACCAGTGGCTCACCTGTCATCCTAGCCACTCAGGAGGCTGAGATCTGAGGATCACAGTTCAAAGCCAGCCCGGGCAGGAAAGTCCGTGAGACTCTTATTTCCAATAAACCACCAGAAAACTGGAAGTGGAGGGCTGGGAAGGTGGCTCTGTGGTAGAGCGCTTGCCTTGCATGCCTGAGGCCCCGGGTTCCATTCCTCAGCACCATATACACAGAAAACCCTGAAGTGGTGCTGTGGCTCAAGTGGTAGAGTGCTCGCCTTGAGCTGAAGAGCTGAGGGACAGCGCCCAGGCCCAGAGTTCAGGCCCCACAACTGACAAAAAAAAGGAATCTCATGGACTTTCTTGCTGGGGCTGGCTTCAAACTTCAGTCCTCAGATCTCAGCCTCCTGAGTGGTTGGGATTACAAGCGTGAGCCCAGGTGCCCGGCCTCCTTCCTGCCTGTTCATTTCAGCCTTGTTCTCTGTGGCTGTGTGAAGTGGGATGGTCGCAGGACCCTCACAGGGCTGCCACGGGGATGTCATCTCTACTCTGTGGTTGCGCCTGGCCTGTGATGTGGACATACCTTCAGCTCTGGCATGCTCCCAATGAGCTCGTACGGCACCTTCACGCGGGGGCCGCTGGTGTAGTCCAGGGGCACGAGCTGTGGGGCCAGGTCCTGGTAGCGGTAGAAGAGCCTGCAGGGAGAGTGGGAGCGGGCAGAGCTGCCACCGCGGTGAGGGACCCGCCCTGCCCTCCCTGGGTGACATCAGGGGCCGCAGGGCTTGGTGATATTCTTGTTTGTCACCCCAGCTACTCAGGAGGCTGAGATCTGAGGATCATAGTTCAAAGCCAGCCTGGTCAGGAAAGTCTGTGAGACTCTGATCTCTAATAAACCACCAGAAAACTAGAAGTGGTGCTGTGACTCAAGTGGTAGGGCACCAGCCTTAAGCAAGAAGAGCTCAGGGACAGCGCCCAGGCACCGTGTTCAAGCCCCACCACTGACAAAAAAAAAAAAGTAAATATGGAAAGTGTTTTAAGAAGCACTGGAAGCACAGCTCCTAGGTTACCGGTGGAGTCGCACTGGCGGCTGTCTTGGTCCGGCTGAGCCGTCTCAGAAGACCTTGAGGTTCCCAGTCTATCAGGGCAATGGGAGCTTCTGGAGGACATGGTATCTAAGCCCTTGAAAGAAGGATCTAGAACCTCAGTCAGTCCTGAATTCTGGTTCCCTCAAGCTCCCTAAATTTCAGCTTCTGAGTGGCTGATTAGGCGACTTGGTTTCCCTGTCTGACAACGGACCAAGGTCCAGCCTTGGATCTGGTGGGGGGAGGGCTCTGCCCGTGAGGCCTGACCCGAGGTCAGCCTGGCCTTGCCTCAGTTTCCCTGGCAGTAACCTGATCGTGATGGCCAGGGTGACCCGGTCAGCTGTCCCCCACACACAATGGTGCTGCCCGGCCAAGCGTGTGCCCATCAATAATCAATGCTCTCTGCCCACCGGCCGCGCCGCCCGCCCTGCCTCCCCCAGCCTGGCCAGCTTGGGTTTCACAGCTCTGAGTTCATGGGTCGAGGCCTCTGAACAAAGGCCCGCAGGCCGAGGGTGTCCACCTTGCAGGACCCGCGCCAGGGACCCTCACAGGCTGCAGCCCCCCTGGCCCGGTGCCACCCCGGCCCAGGGCTGGGCTCAGGCCTCTCCTGGCTCTCTACCCACCATGGCTCCCGCCATCCTGGGAGAAAGGCCCGGTGCCTTCCACAGCATGAAGGCCATGGCACGTCCCTCCCTGCCCCCCCTTCCCGCTCCAGCGCTCCACCTCCGTGAGGCTTTGCCTTCTTGGGCCCTGTCAAATCACTACTCAGATCGGGCGCCTTGGCACATGCCTGCAATCCCAGCCTGCTGGAGGCCCAGGCCAGAGGAGGGCATCCCCCTCCCCCGGCCCCCGAGACACAGACTCACCGCATGATCTCCTTCTTGGTGAAGAAGGTGCAGTCCTGTGGGGAGAAATGTCGGCCGAACCCGGACCTGGCTCTGGAGTTGGGGTTCACGGTCCCCACCTCCACCCCCCCCCACGTCCTGGGTCCACTCAGCACTCGATGGGGACCACAGGCCGGCCACACACACAGATCCGGGGACGCTGTCCCCCTCCGGGGCCCCCGCCACCCCACCTGGTACTCCTCCAGCTGCGCCGCGGTGAACACGCTCTGCGTGCCGCCCATGCCGGCCACCGTGGCCTCCCGCACAGCACTGCGCTGGGCAGCGCTGCGGCCAGGCCCGGCCGCACCCGCCTCACCCCCTGCTGCCCGGGCTCAGGTTACAGCCAAGCCCTCTGGGCAAAAGTGTGCAGGTGTCCCCGGCTGGGGAGGAGGAGGCACCAAAGTGACCCCTAGATCCTGCGAGACTCGAGGCCCCAGCCCTTGGGGGACTGGCCTGGGCGGTGAACCGCTCGGTGCTGTGTGGCCCTGGGGAGGTGGCCGCACGTCCGGCCTGGGCACTGTCCCTGAGCTTTTGTCAGTTCGAAGCTGGCACACTACCACTTGAACCCCAGCACCCCTTCTGGCTTTTTGGTGGCTGGTGGGAGATAAGAATCTCCTAGACTTTCCTGCCCAGCTTGGCTTTGAACTGTGATCCTCAGATCTGGGCCTCCTGGGCAGCTGCGATGACGGGCGTGAGCCTCAGCGCCTCCTAAGACCTCTGGAGCCCAAGCGCCCGCTGCGGGGCCCTGCAGCGGGGTTCCCCTCCCACCCACCCAAAGCCGGGCGCTGGGCTTGTCTCCGTCTGCCGGGCCTCAGGTCCTGGCAGGAGGCAGTCGCTTGGTGCCCCCTGCTGGCCAGGCCGGGAATGGCCGTCACTCTGCCCTCTCACTTTTGTCCCCTTCTGTTGGAGAGCAGGTGTGGCTCTGTCGCTGGCCTGGAACTTGCCATCCTCCTGCTTCAGCCTCTCAAGCCCTGGGATTACAGGCGTGTGCCACCATCCCCAGCATCCCCAGAGAGCTTGGCAGTGTCTTCCTGACGCCTGGAGGATGGATGAACAGGACTCAGTGAAGCTCACCGCGGCTCCACTCCGAGAGGCTCCAAACTGGACAAGAGCCCGGAGTCTGTCCGCAGGTGGGTGGATACACAGAAGGGCTTTCTCCACACAATCAATGCCCCATCGTCACACCCACCAGAAGCATCTCACATGTCCGGCTCAGACAGGAAAGTCCAGACCAATCAGAACAGGTCAGGAGCTGTCCAGGGACCTGGGGGGGGAGGGGGGAGGCAAAGCTGAGCCAGGAATGAAGAAGGGCGAGGGAATGTTCTAGATCTTGACGGTGGAGGTGCCCATAGGTATGTAAACATGTCAGTAAGAGGAGAGTGTGTTTTAGATCATCGCCACTTTGTCTTGGATCACAGTGTTCTTTAGAGCGGTCCCCACAGTCCTAAGGCCTGTCACCCCCAAATCACTTCTGCTCTCTTCCCCTCATCTCAATCCCCAAAACTGCTTTGTCCACATCCTTCAATGATCTCATCGATTTCTCACAGGGAAAGCAGCTGGTGGAGTCCTGGGGTCTGGGCTTCAGGCCTAGGAAACTTGATTGGAATCGCTAAGGCCCAGGGTACATTCCAGCACCTTCCACCTACGTCTCTCAGAATGAGGCCTCTGCCTGGCCGGGTAATCTTTCTTCTCTCTTTTCACGGTTTTGCGCTCTGAACTCAAGGCCCCTGAATTTGCTGGACAGATGCTCTACTACTTAGCCACACACCACCTCCAGAGTTTCTTTTCTTCTTTTTGTCAGTCGTGGGCTGAGCTCTGGGCCTGGGCGCTGTCCCTCAGCTCTTCAGCTCGCTTTTCTGCTTCTGTGGTGCTGAGGAGTGGAACCCAGGGCCTCACGCATGCCCGGCGAGCGCTCCAGCACGGAGCCGCCTTCCCAGCCGTCTTTGCTCTACTTCTTTGTGTCAATGGCGCGCTGGGCCTGGAGCTGCAGGCCCGCGGGCCGCCCTGAGCTTCTGCACCCAAGGCTGGCGCTCGACCACCTGAGCCACCGGCTCAGTCTCCCACTTTCTGGTGGTTCAGTGGAGATAGGCGTCTCACGGCCTTTCCCGCCCGAGCTGGCTTTGAACCGCGGTCCTGGGGGCTCAGCCGCCTCAGTAATTAAAAGAAAAAGAAAGGAACGCATAACCCCAGGGCAGGGTGGGGAGAAAGCGGAAGTGGGAGTCCGGACAGGAAGTGTGGCGGGAGCCACGTTGCGGCGTCGACCACGCCCCCACAGGAAGTGTGGCAGCAGCCAGGGCGGGACGTCTAGGCGGGCCAATCAGGAAGCAGCGGGGGCGGGCGCTCCGGCACAAACAGCGTCCGCAAACCGGAAGAGGCGCGGAGTCGTCGCGGGTCGGGCCTGGCAGCGCGGCGCCATGGCGGCGGCGTACGAGCAGGTGCAGAAGGGGCCGCTGAGGCTGAAGGGCGGCGCCGAGGTCGGCGTGACCAAGCGGTGAGGCCCGCGGGACCCCTGGCGCTCCCTGGCGCTCGCGGCGCGCGCCGCGGCCCCTGACCCGCTCGGCCCCGCCTCTCTCGCTCCCAGGAAGAAGAAGAAGAAGGACAAGGACACGGCGAAGCTTCTCGAAGCCATGGGCTCCAGCAAGAAGAGCGAGGAGGAGAAGCGGCGCGGCCCGGACCCGCGGACGCCGGCGCAGGCGGCCTTCG